GCTGCACTTCCGCCCAGAAATCCACCGCACAGGGGGGGTGGGTGAGGGTAGTTGGGGAGTTAAAGGCCCACAGGTCTTAAAGTGGCCAAGGTTGAGAAATACTGAATAAGGCCAGTGAACCTTCAAGCAGCTGCCTTCAAACCAGCGGAGTCTGTCCCTGTGTTGCTGGCAGACCTAAAACATCAGCCACAAATGCCTTGTTCGCACGACGCCAGGAACACCCATGTTCAGCTTAACTAAAGTGACTCAATTTGCCAGAAGCATTGAGCTACAAACCATAAAGTACAGGCTGGGCTCACGTGGGATGTGATACAAAATTGTATTCTTGGCTCATTTGTGCCTCAGTCGCGTGGCTGGGTTCACACAACACTGAACCTAGCAGCAGCTCCTCCTCCTCCTCTTCCTCCTCCTCCTCTTCTTCTTCCTATTACTACTACTACCACTACTACTATTATTAAAATTTATATGCTGCCCGACTCCCAGCAACTCTGGGTGGTTACCATTTACCTAACATTCTAACCTTGCTTAGCTTAATCCTTGTTACTCTTTTTGTGGTTTACAGTTGAACAGATGGGGTGAACCCAGCCGGTTAGGTATAGTTTCCATTTCCATTTCAGTTCTGAATAAAGTGGGCCATATTCTTTTTCAATCTTTGTGGTTTTCTTTTCATGGGAAGCTGCCCAGAGTCACTGAGGAGTTGGGTACCCCTGACGTTGAACTGAATAATTAATTCAGTAACTCGATTTAAGTGCATCCTGTGAGCCCGGCCTATTCAGAGTTCATTCTCCAATTGCAAATTTCGTAGGAGTGCTGATCATACAGTGGTGGTTCCCATCTTGACCTTTTTGACCCTCTCCCTGTAGACACGCATGCGCCACATGTTAAGTTGCGTTGGTGAAGTTTCTTATGGCTAAATCATGTGGAGTGAATGTGGTGAGTATGTGGTTCGATGTTTTGTGCAAACTCAGAAAATGGATTAATTCAGTACCCAGGTTAAGCATGTGTTTGCACCTAGAATAATCTTAGTTAAAATTCAGCATGGCAAATTTGGCTTACCTTTCACTCAAATGTCACAAGGATGACAGTGGACCATCTACTTTTCACTGAGCAATTTTGATAACTTGATAGGTACAATCAGATATGAAATTTAAAACCCCCCTGTTACTTGCTATCTCTTTTTCAGTTCTTGTGAAACCTCAGATGGAAATAGATTGCTTGTTCCTGCCTTGGGTATTCTGATAAAACAGGGATTTCTAATCATAACTCCAGATAAACATCTATCAACACTGCAGATTTTAAGTCTTCTTAACTGTTTGCATATTTACTGTATTCTGAAAGAATTCCCTCTGGTTGCGTTTGTATAATATGCTTAACAAGACTTAGCAGATACTTTCGTACAACGTTCTCAGCTAGATGGGTGCTAACCTTGGTTAGCTTTTTGGGGCTTTTCATGTTGCGCAAACCTAGGATATTTAGTTTATTTAGTTAGTTCATAGGTCAGTGTATTGTGGGAACCCAGACATGCAGTTGATTTGGTAACCAGGTTGTGCACTGACTGGCTTTGTACAAGCAAATTATACCAAACAAACACGCCTCTCCCAGGGCATCGTCCAACCACAGTAAAACAAAAACTAAACAACTGAAACAATTAATGATTAAAACAATTAAAATTACACTGAACTTAATATACACCATGATGCATTTATACTTATAACAAAAGTAACATACAGCTATAAAATCCTAAACCTACCTACTACCAATCTTGGCTAATAAGATTTACAGCAAAACAGCCCAGCCACCAATCATCTTCTTGTTATTCTGGAGTTAACCAGTGTCCACCAGAAAGATGGGCCCATTAACAGGGTCCACCCTACCACCAGATGGACATTTCGGGCTTTCAACATGGGTGGAGAAATACAGTTCTGATTTCTCAGGCCAGAATGGCACTGACACAGATCTGCTGTTTCCTGATCAGCTGCACTGATTCACTCCTGCATCTCCTGCTGCTGTCCCTAATTGCAATTCTTAGGCTCTGCAAAATTAAAAGGCATTTCCTTCCATTCCCCCTTTTTAGGCAGATTGAGCAGCCTTAATAACCAGAAATTGAAGAAGAGAATATATAACCATTATTTTAATCATGGATTTGGGGAGTAGAGTGAGATGATGTTTTTGGATCCTTCCCAGCTCTGTCATTCTCTGGCTGCATTCATACAATATACTTTACCTGGTTACTGAATTAATTTGATTTGGTTGGGATTGTAAAACATGCTAAGCCACACAGACAAAAACATACACAGCTAACCAAGATTTACACTAACCAAGCTTAACATGTTGACTGAATGCATCTGCTCAGCCTTGATCTGATGAAGTGTGTGGTGTGAACCTGGCCTCTTGTGTTCTGTTTTGAATCAGGGAGAGTAAACTGTGTATTGGTTACCACCTTGGGGGCAGTGGTTGTTCATTTAGAGCTGCCTTTCCCAACCTGCCCCCCTGTGAATAGGCTTGGACTGCATTTCCCAGAATTCCCCAGCCATTATGGTTGAACCCCAGAAATTCTGGGTATTGGGATCCCAATATATGCAGAGGGAGCCATGTTGGGAAAAGCTACCTAGAGATCCATATGGGAGGCATAGAAAAAAAGCTTTACTGAGCCCATTTTCCCAAAATAATCCCTGATTAGGGTTGGGAGAGACCTCCTTTGAGTTTCTGGAAGCTTCAGGTCCTGATTCAGAGATCCTCTGCCCTCCAGAGAAACCAGCTTGGATGCAGGTTTTTCCTTTCCACGTGCCATGGAGCTCTCCCCTCTCTTCCCCGGGTGCCTCCCATCCCAAATCTGACATCTCCTCTTCCAGAGAGTTGCTCTGTTTCTCCACATCTCCACAATCTCTGTTCCAGGAATCTCAATCTTATCTTCTTTTCCTGGAATCATAAATTATGGAGTTGGAAGGGATCTCCAGAATTATCTAATCTAACCAGGGGTGTCTGTGGGGTATGGTCAAAAAAGTCAAGGTGGTGATCGAAGCTTCACCTGTTTGAGGTTTTTTTTTTTGGTAAATATGGGTGGAGCTTCAATCACATCATTGTGGCTGCCATCTTGACTTTTTTGACCATACTCTGTGGATCCCTCTGAGTCTATGCAGAGTGCAAGAAAACCAATTAAACCATCCATGAGAGGTGATGGTCCAGGTCTTCAAAACCTCCAGAGATGGAGAACATCCATAGGTAGATTGTTCCACTGTTGGACAGATCTCATTTTCAGGAAGTTTTTCCTTAAATGAAATCTGGGTAGCTGAAAATTATACCCATTATTTTTGGTCCTAGTTTCTTTGGCCATGGAAAGTAGCTCATGACCATTTTCCCTGTAGCTTCCCTTAAAGTACCCAAACACTGATAGTGTGTCTTCCCTCCAGGCTGGACATCCCATGTTCCTTCGGCTCATCCTCAAGTCCTTGGATCATCTCCGTTGCCCTCCTCTGAACCTGTTCTGATTTTTCAGTGTCTTCTTGGAAATGTGCCCAGAATTGTGCAGAGTGCTCCAGTTATGGTCTCACAGTGCCAAGTAGAGAAGAAGAATGACTTCACACATCTTTGATATTGTGTGTCTCCTGATGCAACCCAGAACTGCATTGCCCCTTCCAGTAACTGTCTCACAGTGCTGACTCAGAACTATATCCAAGTTCTTCTCTGGTGTAGGATTTCCAAGCCACAAGTCTTCCACATCCATCCTACATTTTTCTTCCCTCAATGTAACACATTCCATCCCACTGAAGGATATCTTCTTCTTTGTCTTAAGACCAAGGGTTTTTTAAGGGGACAGTTCCCTTTGGTTTTGCTCCAGCAAAACTCATTTTTGTGGAGTCCTTGGTGTTTTCTGAGCTTGATTGCTTTCTTGCAGGCATTTCATTACCTGACTGGGTAACCTCTTCAGATCTTCCAAAGAGGTTACCTAGTTGGGTAACGAAACGTCGGCAAGAAAACAACCAAGCTCGGAGAACACCAAGGACTCCACAGTTCAACCTTGAGCTACATATATTCTCTTTTACTGAAACTCACTTTTCCCCTGCCTTCCTGAGACTGGGCTCCTAAAAAGGCTCAGCTTTTCTTCTCTCTGGCCAGAAGAAAGAGCCTCTGGATCATTCCCCTGGCCCATGTTTTACTCAGGAAGCAAAGGGGTGGATTCCCAGTTCTCAG